CACTGCACATGAATATTATGAATCTGTATCTTGACTCTCTCCAAAAAGGTTTGTCAAGGAAAATATAGGAAACTAGAGAGATTCATCTAGTTATATGGTCTGCTGATAGTGACTCTGAGCAGCTATAATTCTTGAGGCCCTGGGTCTGGGATTTAACTCAGTGGTGCCACACCTGCCTGGCAAGTGCAAGGTCCTTAGTTCAATTCCCAGTACCACCCCCCCCGCAAAAAAAAAACCAAACAAAGAACCCAAAAACCCATGTACTAATAAAAAAAGAATTATTAAAAACATTTCTTGTGGTCCTGGTTCTATTACAGTCTGCTGCATGTAGAGGCTTATGAAGTCCATGTGACAGAAACACAGTCTAAACTAGGTTTGGTGGCACACACCTGTAACCCAAGTATTGGGGAGGCTGAGGCAGGAGGCTTGTCATGGGTTTGTGGAGACAAAGGAAATTGTACACAGGGACATAGGTCATGACCTGGGTGGCTGGTGGGTATAGAAATGACCACATGCTTACTTTGCACCACATACTTGAGGAAGTGACCCTTTATAAAACACTTGGAGGCATTTGCTGTGTCCCTAGACCCCAAGACCCTTAGCTCACCCCAGAAACAAAAGTCTAAGACTGATTGGCATAGATTACACCAGTTAATTGGTTATTTTTAGGAGCCAGCACCCCTCCCTGGAGTATGACAGCAGTGGTCCTGACCTTTGAGAAACTTGCTGTAATTCTCCCTGCCTTGTAGCTGCTACTGGCAGCTTTTCCCCGAATCTGTGATATTATAAATAAACATCCGCTTCACACTGCTTTCATTTCTGACTTCCTCATTCTCCACTGGACCTGACTTTCCTATTTTCCACCAGAGGCATTAGGCTTTGAGCCAGCCTTGCCCTTCATTTTTTGCTGGAGGGCAAGGACCTGGACTCTTTCCACGGGAGATCCCTAGCTCCCCAGACCGCCATCTGATGCTACAGCTTCAAGGCCAAGTTGGGCTACATGATGAGTTTAAGGCAAGCCTGAACTATATAGCAATACCTTCCCTAAAAACAAAACGAAACAAAAAACAAGAAAAACCCCACTTAAGACACTTTGTCTGGATACTACTTCCTGTTTAGGTGACCTGGCTCTCTGAGCAAATCTTGAGCCCTTCCTACAATGCCTGAGAATAGAGCTGGAAATATGCCCTCAGCAAATGACAAAATCTCTGCCCTGACTCTGGCCCACAGTTGGGATTGCTACAGTAAGGAGGGCTCTGTGAAAGCCACTGGTACTTTCCCTTTATATCAAAATTGTGAATCAAAAGAATCACTGTGAAGGATGACAGAATAGGCCACCCCAAAATAATGCTTTTTGGCAAAAAGATATTTTGAGCTAAAGGTACTTGAAAACCAGCAGGTGCAAGAAGGGTACTCTGACTCTCCCTTTTCTTTCTGAAAGCAGATGAAACTTTCATGTGAAAGATGCTCTCCCTAAACGAAGAAGAAAAAAAATTCCTATCACCAGAGATGGAGCATAAGCCTGAGAGAATATAGACCTTCTTAAAATAACTCCTACCTTCTTTTGGTCTTCCCACGTATTTTAGTTACTTTTCCACAACTGCCTTTCTGTTCAATATATCATAGAGGTATTTAGTTTTTGCTACTTCTTCGGGTCTTTATTTCTTGTGGAGTCACCTGTGTACATACAGACATCCGTATACTCTTCTGCTCATCTGTTTTATGTTGATTTTATTCTCAAGTCCAGCCAAAGACCCCAAGTGTAGGTAAAGTTCACCTCTCCTACAATATTTTTTCAGGAAACTTTCATGATTTCTTCTACCTCTGGGCTGGAGGTGAGTGATTCATCAGAAACACATTCAGTATGTGCTATCCAATGCCAACACCACCTTAGCATGACAGCCAATCATTACTTGGGACAAAGGTAGTGACAGCTATCTGAGGTCTGCTCTGCAGGAACAGCAGTGGACTTACAAAGAACTGTCTACTAGTGTGGAGTGCAGCTGTGAACAAGAATGAAACTGAAATTCTCTTATTAGCTAACAAAATCAGCTTTTACCTTCTTAAAGTTTCTTTTCTCTTAACAGAAAGACAGCCTTCAAATTATGGCAGAAACCAAGGGGAGCCATTTATTGTAGACATTTATTTCACATACAAGTTTTCAAGAAGACATCTAAGTGAATATTAACACAAAACAACGACATACATCCATTTGTACTTGGTCTCGGAATGCCTTCAGAAGGGGCAAGGGCTCAGAGTTACACAGGTTGCTCAGTAGTCCTTTCACTGGGGCTCCCCAGTTCTCTCATCACGGACTCCCGTCTGTCACTGGGCACTAGATTTCACAAAATAGACTTTCTTCACTTCAGCTACCTGCTTTTGGCTATCAGGGTGCCTAAGTGGCTGCCTGCTATTGAACATGAGTGACATGTCTTTTCTCCTTGGTGAGCAACTCCTCAGCTGGCCTTGCTGTCCCACTGTCCCTTTCCTGCACACAAAGCAGACTGAGTTTGGCCCAGAGGCTCCATGCAGTGGGGAGCCAGGCTGGAGCCTGGACTCACAACCTTTCTGTCACCTCCACCTGACTCCGTGGCCTCCTGAAATGTGAGCACTTGAGCAATCTTGTAGTCAAATTCAACCTCTCAAAGAGAGGCCATGATTTATTAAACAATACTTAGTAAGTGGTATTCATAAGACTAATGCTTTTTTGGCTTTTGGTCTAATGCTCATTTCACAATGACAGGCTTCCCTAAGCTGCTTATGTATATGTGTGAAGTCATTCTCTTTAACAAAAACACTAAGCGGCCGGCCGGGGATTTAGCTCAGTGGTTCCAGCGCCTGCCTCACAAGCACAAAGTCCCAAGTTCGATCCCTGGTACCAAAAAAACAAAAAAAACCTAACCTTTCCTTCCAGATGAATTAGGTTAAATGTTTAATAAAATAATCAGTGATAATTAGAGGGATTTGTGGAGATGAATACTAGGTAGGAAAAATGCACCCAGTTTCTAAAATGCCTTAGATGTCACAGAATAAAATGTTTGTTTATACCATTTTTAAAAAATAGGATTTGAGGCAATCTCCAAAAAGCAAGGCAGAATTAAATAAATTCAGGTTTAGGTAGTTGATTGAGGTGGACTTTTATTGGGCTTTCTAGCAACCAGAAGAAAGAAGGAAAAGCAGTAAGTTATAAAATCACAGTGTTTCTAAGATAAAAACTTTTTTTCTTTCTTTTGTTGAGGATCAAAGCAGTCTCTAGTACTGAGATCTAGAAAAAAAAAGATTTTCCTATGGATCTTCATAAAGGCAATCTTATGTGATATAAAAGACAAACTACTTAGAATTGCGATTATTCATTTTAACTTTCATGTCTCAGCTTGAAAAGAGAGAAAATGCAGGGAGACAGTAACCTTGGTCTAAAATGGTAAGATCTTCTATTTAGTGAAAATAGAGAGATTCATTAAAGCATGCCCAACAGCCTATTTACAATCAGGAAGTAGGGGAACCTAACTTCTGCCTTAGCTTGATCCCAGACATATGAGAGACTGCTCCACTGGAGGGAGACAAGGCCTTCAACCTTTTATCATTGGGGAAGTGTGAGAAACAGCGGTACCAAATATGATTTCAGATTTGTAAGTTAGAGAAACTGTCCAGGAAGTGAAGGTGATTTCTTCCTGATTGACCTTGTGTAACCAACATGGATGTAACTGGCATTACTTTTTGCCTCAATATGTCCTTGATCACACTGTAACATTGTTAGATATAGGCATCATGCTCCTTTAAAAATTTTTGCATACCCCACCACAGCTAAAACATGATCTTACATGTAACAGTGCTTATTAAATATTTATGAATATATCATTTACTTTCCTGAATCATGCTTCCATATAATTATCAATCCTGTGTACATATTACTAAGTGGTGATTTATATTAATGTGCATTTTCTCTAGAGTTGGAATTCCAGAACATCTACACAATATAAGCACAAGCCCACTGGCACCACACACATCTTACTGTGCTAGGCACAATACCAACATGAAACTGCATGTACCATTAGAAGTCTATAATTCAGACAACACAGAGGAAATCAACTATGTTGATGTGGACAATCAGAACATTTCCAACAAATGAAAATCAGAAACATTCATCAATGTTTACCTGAGTCACCTGCCTTCCAACAGGCCACACCCTATTCTGGCATCATAAATTGGATTTCTTTTGATAGTGCCTACCTTCCTTGGTACACTGCTCACAGCTTTCAAAAGATTCAAACACACTTGAAGGAAAAATACTATCCCTAGGTGCCTTCAAATAAGACAGCATTTGACAAAGGAAGGGAGAGATACGAACAGAAGAATAAGCTACATATAGTCCTGACTATTTTTCCTCTAAACTCGCGACTTTTCCCTCCCCAAAGCAAAGCCACCCTAGGTTAGCTGTGTATTGAGGGTATAAATGCCACTGGCTTCATCCTGAAGCAACTGGCTTTGAAAGATCAAATCCCTGGGTTTTATCTGTAACATACATGAATTAACTATCTCCCCCATCTAAGCCATTCTACCCATAATTACTGTGGTGGCACTGGGGGTTATCAAAGAGATTTTCAGAAAAAATATATGGGGAAAACAAAAATGGCATTCTGGATTGGAAGTTTCTATAAATATTTCCACTTTCACTTAGCGAGCTGTAGAGTTGTATAATTAATCAGGGCTGTACAGTTAGGTTTATGACCCTATGCAAAAGGAACTGAAGCCTCAGATACAGAGACTGGTATACTAACAGCTTGCCCTGAAAGTGTTGATTTGGACTGAGGTGACTCTGATCTAAATCAGGCCTGAGTCCACTAAACACTTCAGGTCTCTATCTCACTTTTCTCCTATTCCCTTACAATTTCAGAAAGACTATTATATAATATTATACTGAAATGTGGGCTGGGAAGTATAAAATATGCCAACGTACCAGTCATAATTTAAGAGCCAGAGAAGTTATAGGGTAGAATCAGAATGTTTCTGAAATCCTACTTTATTTTAATGAGACATACCATAATCATGCATCCTATGTGATCTGCAGATAGCACGGTAGTTCTGAAGAGTCAGATGAGAGTACATGGAATAATTAGGAGGTAAATGTAGGCCTTATGAGAAATAGAAAGAGGAACATCCTGGGATTATTTGGGGGCTGGAGAAGCAGCGGCCACAGGGCTATTAAGTCTTCAGGTACAGAAGGTGATGATAGAGGGTGAGGCATTAGTAACATGACTTCAGTGACAACATAGAGAATCTACCCTAGCTATTTGGATCAACTTCTTGACAAAAAGGACACTGTATCAGGTTTCTTAAGGAGGCTATAAAATCTTCACTCTCCTTTGCGAGTATCTTCAAAATTGAGGTTGATCTGATACAGTTGTGATCAGATTCCTGAAAGTTCCACCCAAATGTGAAAATCTGTTATCAAGTTGCATCCAGGATCTCATGTAGTAGGTAACAACAACAAGAAGAACAAATCCTTTTGGCATTTATCTCCTTGAAAACACTTCTCATCCACACAAAAGGATCTTGAATGTTCTTGAATTTAGGAATCCAACATCAGTGACCTCAACATACCAAAAAGAACTTCATTCTGAACTCAAACAATGTGTCTTCTCCACTCTACTAACAGAGATGTAGAGAAACAGAGGACAGAGAGAGAGATGACCAAGTTAGAGGCAGAGGTGAGAACAGGATAAAAGTCTTATGTAATCTCAAATTTATCTTGGGAATTACACTTTAGGACTAAGAAAAGACTGCTTCTGTGAGTGAGGCTGGGCTAAGATGGCTAAAGGGGCTCATTATCAAAATGTTTTCCTGAAGTCATCGGTCTTCCCTTTCTCTGGGGGATACATAGAGAGAGGGTGTGGCAGAAGCTTTTCTCTAACATGAACTTCCCTGTGTTTGGCGAGAACAGAACTCTTACCAAAACGCTTCCCACAATGGGCACATCCATAGGGCTTCTCTCCAGTGTGGATCCTCCGGTGCTCTCGAAATCTTGTGCAGTTATTGAAACTTTTCTCACAGTCCATACATTTGTAGGGATTCTCTCCAGTGTGGACTCTGCGGTGAGCACTGAAATGAGAACTGTTGGTAAAGCTTTTCCCACACTCTCCACACTGATAGGGCTTCTCACCAGTGTGGGTTCTCTGATGGATAATAAGACTAGAGCTTTGACTGAAGCATTTTCCACATTCCCCGCATCTGTAGGGCTTCTCTCCTGTGTGGATTCTCTGGTGGGCTCCAAAATTGGAGGAGTCATTAAAGCTTTTCCCACAGTCAAGACATTTGAAAGGCTTTTCCCCTGTGTGGATTCTTTGGTGTCTGATTAGGCTCCTGCTTCTACCAAAGCACTTCCCGCAGACACTGCACTTGTAAGGATTCTCCTTCTGGTGGGTCATCCGGCACATAAGACGAGCACTCCTTCCAAAGCTCTCTCCGTATCTGAGAAGTCTGTAGGGTCTCCTCCCCAGGAAAGGCCTCTGATGCATCACAGCTTTCCCTAGATCTCTAGGCTGGGCCATCAGCTTTCCCTGTCTAATGCTTTGAAGGTTTTCCCATTGTCTTCCTGAGATGCACTCCCTTTTTCGATATCTGCTGGGATCAGTATTCTGGGAAACAACTCTTTTAGATTTTTCTATTAATGCTCTATGTGGTTCTGGGTCCTTATATATTACCTGTGTTGGATCCTCCTTGATGCTACTTCCAATTTCAAAATCTGAAAAAAAATACAAATTTAACACGAGTTCTGTATTAACATAAACAACCAGGCCTGTAATCGTTAGCATATTATGAACCCTTTGTACTTCACAGGCCTTGCATCTTGTGACTCTTTCCTGAGACGTCTTATTTTCCTTCAGTTACATGAGCAGGCCAGTAACATCCACTACACAGTAGATCTTCATGTATGTTTCTGAATGGAATTATTCTGCACTCCTATCCTGATTAACCAGGAAGCAACTTGACTTATCTCCCAGAAGCTGCACTCTTAATTCAGGGGTTCCCAACCCCTGGACCATAGACCAGTACCAATCTGTGGCCTGCTAGGACCCTGGCCATACAACAGGAGGTAAGCAGCTGGTAAGTGAGCAAAGCTTCATCTGTATTTATAGCTGCTTCCCATGGTTTACATTAATACCTGAGTTCCTCCTCCAGTAAGATCAGCAGAGGCTTTAGATTCTCATAGGAGCTTGAATCTTACCGTGCACTACATGAGGAAGGTGAGGGATCTAGGTGTGTGCTCCACTGAGAATGAATCAACCCAAACTTGCCCTCTACCCCCCAGGAAAAACTTTTCTTCCATGAAACCAGTCTGTGGTGCCAAATAAATTGAGGACTATTGCTCTAATTCATACTATTTTCATTATTTCACACTATACCACACTAGTCTTTGCAGTAGATTCTAGTGACTAGGTCCAAATTCCATGGGGAATTTCTAAATTCATCCACAGAATGATAACCTATCCAAGACCACTTCTTTCTACTCAGATGTCCTTGCCACTTTTTTTCTTTTTAGCTGTCCCACAGACCACACAAACTCAAATCTTAATCTGCAATGTTCCCAAAGCTGGAATTACTTTCTCTTCACCTACATCCAAATTACTACAAGGTACATCTTGGATAGTTTTTCTGTGAAGTTTTCTGGACATAGAGCACAACATGATGGAGAGATACAGCTTTGGAATCACACATCTCTAATCTGATTCCATCTTGGTCAGTCATTAACTGTGTGACTTTTGTATTAACTTTTTATTATGGGACATTGGAAAGCACAGAGAAATAAAGAGAGCAGCATGAATGATGAACTTCTGCGAACCTCTTACCTGCCTTTAACAATGATCTATTTATGGATAATCCTGTTTCATCTTTATTCCCACATGTTCTGCTCCCTGTACCCAGACCCCTTACACACAAATTCTAGAAGACACATATGTCTTCTATAAATATTTCACAAGTGGAATAACTCCAGTCCAGTCCAGGTTTGATTCCCAAAACTTTGTTCTTAAGTGTGTGCTAGATTGGCTTGTTCCTACTTGCCAGTTTCAACATTGTCTTTTTCTACACATTCAAGTGAAACTGCTAATAATGCTCAAGGCCAAGTAGGGAAGCTGTGACAAGGGCTGGGGAGAGAAGGCCATTCGTCAATCAATTCATTAACTTAAGCAAAAAGATCTACCAGTGGTATTTTTCACTTAGGAGTTCTTCTGAAGCTTTCTCATTTGATCTGACATTGTTCCGGGATTTGAAGGATGTCATAGTCTAGCAGATAACTCAGACAGAGCCTGATAATCTGATGATAGATCTGGAGGTTATTTTAAGAACAAGATTTACAAGGACTTTATCTCCAGAGTTATCAAAACCAAAGTTACATGGAAATTACCCTTTATACTATAGTTTCTCACATAACTACTGCCAGGGCATATGTATGAACACTCTTCTCTAATGTATTTAGACATTACTTTCTCTTGGCTAGGCCCCAGTTCCCCAATCAATTCAGGCAATACAGAGTTACTTGCTTTGAGTAGTCAGTCCTGCACTACCTCATATGTTCTTATATATCCCAGATCTACAGAAAGATAGAACTTCTGTCCTTCAGAACTTATTGGGAGGTCCAGAACATATAAAGTGTCTTGTGCCAAAAACAGAGACAAGCTGTGGGAGTTGAGAAAGAATTTTGACACGGATATATGAAGAGCTGAGGACATTTAAGGTAAAGGGAACATCATGAAGTAAGGTTTAGATGTGAAGGCTTAAGTAATGTGTAGGGGATAGTGGGTAGTGTTGTTTCAAATAAGCATAGAGTGTGGAAAGAAAATATGAATACATAAGGTTAGAAGCAAAAGATGAGCTCAGATTAAGAATGGCTGTGGAACCTTAATAAAAGTGTGGATGAGGATATCTAGTTTGGAGACTTTTACAATAGTCTAGGCAAGAAACAGAGCAATGCTGAACTAAGGTCATGGCTATGGCAACTAAAGAGGAGGCAGACAGATGTGACAGTCTACAACGTGATACTCTAAAATGTGTCATCTGCCTAGATGTGTAGGATGAATGAGGAGGTATTAAAATTGCCCCTGAAGATGTGAATCTGGGTAAGCTGTAGGACAACACAGGAAGAGCTGTGGTGTGAGATGAAAGACATTAACATTAGTTTTAAATATCTTAGGTCTGAGCCACCAATGAGATACACCTGTGAGGGCATCTAGCAGTCAGCGGGAAATGAGCTGGCAGAGCTCAGGACCAGAAGACAGTCTCTTGCTTTGTCTCTGCCTATCTTTTTCTTCATGTACATTACATAACTGTTAGATATTAAGTTGTGGACACATGTCCTTCATCCCAATGTTTTTTCTCATGTGTAACTCCAAGTTCTTTCACAGGGGATACAAAACACTGTCTGACCCATACAGATAAAAACCAAGGCACTAGAATGTGAGTGGATGAGTACCTCCTCTGAATGGAAGTACCTCGAGAACAGGACCTGTTTCATTCATTCTATATTCCCTATTCCTCAAATGGCACATGGCACTCAAGTACCTGCTGAATGAGTTAATGTGCATGAGCGATACACTAGATCTATAGATTTCCCAGTAAGTCACTTTCTCCTCTTTTAGACTAAAATCCCTTGATGAGCCTTACCATTTGGGCTTTGCAGTAGACCTGGAGGTCCCTGGAATTCTTGCTCTTGTAGAACTTCCTCCTCACTCATTCTCTCACTGCTAGAATCTTCTATTACTGCTTCCTGGGAGTTCTCAGGTTCCCAGCCTGTAGGTTCCTGGGGTTCCACCTCAGTAGGCCCTCTTTCATGCCTCGAGGCTGATAGCACTTCTTCTGAGCTGTCAGTGGAAGGGGCTGATGCATGAAAGTTAATTAGGGCATCCATCTCCTTGTAGAATGCACAGGATTCTAGCACATGACCATTTTTCACTTTGCGGTAACTCTTCTGAAGGCTTTTGAACTTGGTTCGGCATTGCTCAGGTGTCCGGAGGAAGCCACACTCTCGAAGTTGTTCAGCCACGGCCCCATACAACTTGCTCTTCCTATGACAAGCTTGAAGTGCTTCATAAAATCGAGTCTCATGAAGGATATCAAGAAAAGTCTTGGTTTCTTCATAGCCCCAGTGCACACCTGCCATTCAAGGATAAAGATCAAAGATATAAGAAAAGCGGCTTGGAGCCTCTATATGGTACATATTACAAAATGTAAGAGTGAAAATAATCCCATTCATACTAGCATCAGGAAATATGATATACCTAGGAATAAGGTTTGTAAGAAATGAGTTCTGCATTATAAAATTGAAAGATATAAATGAACTAGAAAAAAATAAAACACTGTATTTTTGGATAGGATGATTCAAAATGTACAGATGTCAATTGGGGTTAGGAACAAAGGTCTAGAAGACCCAATAGGAACTGTCCCCCTCCCAAGTTCTTATCACTTCTTTTTTTTTTTTTTTTTTGGTACTGGGGATGGAACTCAGGACCTTGCACTTGTGAGGCAAGTGGCAGAATCAGAGCTAAATCTCTGGCCCTTTTTTTTGTTTTTTTGCTATGTAGTTCAGGCTGGCCTTGAACTCACTGTGGAGCCCAGGCAGGCCTCAAACTTGTGGTGATCCTCCTGCCCCAACCTCCCAAGTATTGGGATTACAGGTCTGTGCCACCATGCCTGGATTATCACTTCTTAAACCAGTTTTCCTTGAGGATCAGAACTATGTCCAGAGTAGTTCTGAATCCTCAGTGAATGTTCTACTTTTGAGAGATGATAGGCTGAGCACAATCAATGTTCTCTACTAAGAAAAAACCCAGAACCTCTGGACTTAACTTGTTAAATATGCTTTTTAGAAAACTTTTCTATCTTCAGTCTTTACTGAGTGGTCTCTTCTAATTGAGACCACCCCAAGAGCTCCACCCTCATGTTTATGAATTTGCAAATTGGTGAGTAGATAACTGTATGTGGACAATCAGTCCTCCCACCTTTTCAGCAGAATATTTATTCTGAACTCTCAGATCACCTAGCTCGAGCTACCTTTCCATTCTAAGAATTAATCATCTCTTAGTAAGCTGGAGTAGAGAAGACATTAATAACAGTGATACTAGGCAATATTGTATTTTGGCATTTTCAGAGTGCCTTCATCTCTATATCCCACGAAACACTAATAAAAGGCCAGTGAGGTATTCCTTGTCACACATAATAAATGAGTAAGCTGATGCCCAGGGGAGTTAAATGATATTTCTGCCACGCAGTTATTAACATGCAATTTAATTCTGTATGTTCATTCCCCAAATATATAACACTAGCTTTCATTTGCATGGTGTATCTTTCTATATTTTCAATTTTATTTTATTTTATGGTACTGGGGATTGAACTCAGTGCCTTGTACTTATTAGGCGAGTGCTCTACCATTGAGTTACATCCCCAACCTTCTTCTCAATCTTAATGTCTCTGTGTTCTTAGTCCTGTAAACTTGTAACTAGTGATCCATTTGGATTGATATCTACTATGCTTTTTTATTTGAGTTATCTATTTTATGTTCCTTTCTCTCCTATGTTGTCTTCTTTACATTACACAAAAATTTATATTTCATTTTTTTACTCTTTTAACTTTGTAGTTACATTCTTTTACTGTTACCCTAGGTGGTGTAATAACATACCCTTAATTTATAACCAACACAACTGATTGCTTTACCCTAATTCTCAGATAAAATGAGATCCTCAGAACCTTCTGACTCCTTTTGTCTTGTATCCACAAGGCCACAAATACTTAAAATCCATGGTATGCTGACAAAGAATCCTCCACGGTCACTCACTGCTATTACTTAAGTTGCACTGGGGACAGCAACAAACACCTGAAAGTACCTCCAAGTTATGGGGTCACATCACAGTAAAAGTGGCAAGGCATGTGTGACAGCATTCTCCAGGTTTGGCTGGTGCTCTTCTAACCCTCTCCCTTTTCCCCAAGAATAAAACTCTATTTTCATACTAGGAAAAATAGCACAATTCTTACCACTCAGGTTTTGAAATAAGACAGGGGCACCATGAACTTCAGGCTTGTGGATAAATTCAATGCCCATTTCATCACCATCAGATTCTTCTGCAGCTTCCTCCTCCACCAAAGTGATCTGTTCTTTAGCACTAATTCCAATTCTCTTTAGTCTGGGGAGAGATACAATCTCCTTTGGCTTATCAGTAGATGAAGCATGGGCTGCAGGGTTCAACAAAGCATCCATGTCCTCAAAGAAGGCACAGGGTTCTAGCATGTGGCCATTTCTTACTTTTCGATAGCTTTTCTGGAGGCTTTTGAACTTGGTTCGGCACTGTTCTGGTGTGCGAAGGAAGCCACATTCCCGCAACCATTCAGCCACAGCACCATAGACCTGGCTATTTCGGGGACAAGCCTGAAGTGTTTCATAGAAGCGAGACTCCTTGAGAATTGCAAGAAAAGTCTTAGTTTCCTCGTAGCTCCAGTGCACACCCGCTATTTTCTCATCTTCTACACCCCACTGCTGCTGGTCTCTCCATATTTTTCTGGCGTTCCTTGCAGGGATCTGAACAGGATGAGCTGACTTTTCCTTGACATAGGCGCTTCGTAGGACATTTCTCTTGTTTGAGGAATGTAGGCCTACAGTCCATGGCTCTTTTCTTTGTTCCAACCTGGCTATCTTGTTAGATGGAGACACTGTATTTCCTATAGCAAGAGAAACATAGTTCATAGAAGGCACAGATGCCACTACTGTACACCTCAGTCTTCTGCTGTAACACACCCTCTAGAACCATTTGCTCACACACCAAAGCTTTCTTCAGCCATGATGATGCACGCTGTAGTATTCTTATGACTTCTTTGACACAATCATCTACTAATGCTATTATTTTACTTCTCATGTATGTACCACTTCTTTTCTTAGCTAGTTCTTAAAAGAATACATTTAAGGGTAAGAAACATACTTTATTACCTCTGATTCTCTTTCAGTAGCTAATACTGTGTAAGGTTCAGTGTTTGTTACTAATCGGTATTTGTTATTTATAAATTGTGCCTGTATCTCACCCAATGTCACTTCCTTGTCCACCTCAACATACACACATATATACACACTGGAGTGATGGGAGAAGAGAATTCTGAACAGACTGTATTACAGTGGTACTAACATACAATCAGAAACAGAGGAACAGAATGGACAGCCCAGAAGTCAATCTTTCCACATACTGTCAACTAACTTTTGACAAGGGTACCAAGAATATACCATTGGAAAAGCTTGCATATTCAGTAAACAGTGCTGGGAAACTGAATATCCACATGCAAATGAGTGAAACTGGACCCTGTCTTACAGTATTAACAAAAATTAATTCCAAATATATTAAAGGTTGAAATATAAAACCAGAGACCATAAAAATCCTAGAAAAAGCACAGGGAAAAAGTTCTTTGACACTGATTTTGGCAATTTTTTTGGGATATAATACCAAAAGCATAGGCAATACAAGCAAAAACAAACAAGTATGAATACATTAAACTAATATGCTTCTGCACAGTAAAGGAAATAAAGTGAAGAGACAACTCACAGTATGGGGGAAAATATTTGCAAGTCATATATCAGAAAAGGGGTTAATATCTAAAGCACACTAGGAATCATAAAATGTGATATAAATCAATCAATCAATCAATCTGATTTAAGAATAGGCAAAGGACCTGATAAGACATTTTATCAAAGGAGATATACAAGTGGCCAACAGGTTCATGTAAAGGCATTTAGCATCATTAAAAGGGAAAAGCAAATCAAAACCACAAGAGGTTATCATATCGCACCTTTCAGAATTGCTAACAACTGCAAGATAAAAGGTAAGTGCTGGAAAGAATATGGGGAAAATGGAACCCTGTGCCCTATTGGTGACAGTGTAAGTTGGTACAGCCATGATGATATATTATGGAAATTCCTCAAAAAATTAAAAATAGAACTACCACATGATTCAACAATCCTACTCCTGGGTATATATCTGAAGGAAACCAAATCAGTATCTTGAGGTATCTGCACTCTCATGTTCACTGTAGCATTATTCACAATGCCCAAGACATAGAAACAACCCAAATGTCTGTCAATTGATGGACAAAGAAAATATGAAAATAAAGACAATAATCTATGTATGTATGTATGTATGCATGTGTCAATCAAATAGAGTTTTATTCAGCCATAAAAACAAAGAAATCTTGCTATTTGTAACACCCTGGATGGACCTAGAGTGCATTATGCTAAGTGAAATAAGCCAGAGAAAGATAAATAACATTTGACTATTTATATGTAGAATCTAATCTACAAAAGTTGAACTCAGGCTAGAATGGTGGTTGTTAAGGGCCTTGGGGTAGGATACTGTGGAGATGTTGGTGTTATAAACTTTCCATTATAAGATAAATAAGTTCTAGGAATCTAATGTATAGCACAGTGATTATTGTTAATAATACTATACTGTACACTTGAAATTTGCCAAGAGAGTAGTTTTTTTTTTATACAGGGTCTCACTATATAGTTCAGGCTGGCCTCGAACTCACAGTAATCCTCCTGGTTCAGCCTCCCAAGTGCTGAGATTATAAGCGGGCACCACCATTCCCCCCTGGAGATTTTGAATGTCCCCTCCCAGTTAACTACATGAGGTGATGGATGTTTTAATCAACGTAATTGTGGTAATTATTTCACAATCTGTATAAAAAAATCAAGTTTTACATCTTAAATATACATAGTGTTATTTGTCAATTTTACTTTAAAAAAGCTGGAAAAAATTTTTGGCCAACAAACTTAATTTTCAAACAAAAACTCAGAGGAACTCAAAATGGCACGTATTAAAGAAAAAAAGTGAAGTTGTTTTGCTTAAGGACGTTAATAAGGGGGTACAGAAAAGCTTTATAACTTAGCTTCATGGTATGAGACACATCAAAGATACATTTCTTTTTTTCTCAAAAGAGACTGAAATCCATTTTCTATTATCTGAAAGGGAAAGTAATCTGTGACTCTGTGTTGTAAAATTATTGGTACAGGTATATTTTCCATAAATATTTGTTGAAAACAAAACATTTCATTAACTAAAAAAAGAACCTTTGGAGACATACTGGTAAAGTTAACAGGAAATAATTATAGGAGCAGGAAACAAATTGAGTTTGCTACTTTACAGTTTGCTACTGAAGAGATCAACATGTCTTAAATTTGAATCCTAGCCACACTATTTACATTACTTTTTGACCAGTAGAGGTTTCTTAACTTCTCAGATTCAGTTTCCTAAGGAATAACACCATCTGTCCAAATTGCTGCTGGAAAAATTAAATAAGTAGTCATGTGCAAAGTATCCAATGCCCAATAAGAATGTAATAAAATTTAGTTATCTTCTTCACATAACATATGTAAGAACTTCAAAAATTCTCGAAAAGCAACATCGAGTCAAACCCTTCTGAAGAAATCTGGGGATGGAGATTTGCTCTATATTTTTTATATGGGAGAAGCAAGCGTGAGGCCAGTGCAACTCCAGTATCTGTATGGTTTAGGCAGGCAAAGGAAGTAAGTCAGGTGGCCAGAATGGGAACACTGGCTGTTGAGCATGAGCCCTTTATGCAGCTCTGGCCAAATGGGGCTGTGTAGGAAGGTAGGCTCATAGTGCCTGATGTCTGAATTTCCAAGACATACTGGAAATCCAGATTTATAAACTAATTATAAATTAAACATTGTGCAGGCCAAAATATGTGCATCGGTCAGCTTCAGCCCATGAGCCATTAGTTTATAATCTACAAAAACAAAAACTGGGCTAGGTATCTTGACCTTGATCTTTCCATATGAAATTGTACATAAAGGGGTTAGTCTAAATTTAAATTATGAAAGTATGGTTCCTTCCCACCAGGGGTAGATTTTACTAAGGACTCTCATAAAGCATTTTACTAGGACTGGATGCCACGTGAGCCAAGTAAATGGCAGAAACATATATTGTGTACACAACTAGGCAGATGACTGGGCTGCCAGCTATTTTTCAAAGACTGTTTTGTTATTGGGGCATCATCTTAAATTGGTTATTTTTAAATGCTTTAACTGATTTCTAATAATAGACTGTTGGTGTACCTTCACCTATTCAGTTAGATGCGGCTCATTTCACAATTTCTACTTTGGTGTCTACGTGTAGGACATCACAGAACTTTCTGTGATGCTGGAAATGTTCTCCATATATGCTGTCCAATATGGTTGTTAAATACCTTAAATATAGCCACTACCAAAGAGGAACTGAATTTTCAATTTTATTTAATTTTAATTAATGTAATCTAAATTTAAATAGCCCCATGTGCTATGGCTACCATTAGACAGTAAAGGATTATAGTATCTCTAATTTATATAATTTATATCTGTTGGTTATAAATTGGTATTGGTGCACAATATAATTTTCTTCATATGTAGAGTTTGACTCATGAAAAAAGCTGACATATGAATGAATCATATTTATTCCTTCAGTTAAAGCAGATAAAGATAATTCTCTAAAAATCTGTATGTACAGCAACACTTAAGTGGCCATGTGTGCCTATAAATTTGTGCCATTTAAATGATTCACAACATGTTATCAAGGTCATTGTATTAAAATTACTTTCTTAAATTTTTAAGATTTCCATTCACACAACAAATATGGACCTACTCACATGTCACCCATATGTCAGGTGGCTCTGTGCTAGGTTTTTGGGATACTCTTTATTTATTTATTTATTTATTGGTACCGGGGATCGAACTCAGGATCTTGCGTTCATGAAGCAGGTGGTGGAACCACTGAGCTAAATCCCCGGCACGGGATACTATTGTTAAATAAAAACAAATCCTGAAAAGACTTTGTGACTTTATGGAGCTTTTAGTTTAGTAGATGTGTGTTAAGTTTATATTTTCTATAATATAAATACATGACAGCCATATATTACTCTTTTACAATCTCTTGATTACTAAATTGTTGAAATTTTTTTCTTACTAGAGGAAGGGAATGGGTGAGGTAAGAGAACATGGATAAATGATTACACTAAGTGACCATGATCATCCTTTAGGCATTAACAATTACATCTGACTATTATACCATCTGTAAGAATGAATACATAAGCAATCTCCTGGTCTTTTGTAAAGGGAAAGGATCCTTACCCAGGGAGACTGTGTTCCCAACATTCTCCTTCCTGATTTCCCGGTAGAGGTCTCTGTGAACAGGGATCTGATGCACAGTCTTTTTGTGGGAAAAACCTCTTAACACGTGGACATCTTTCACTGGTTCCTGTAACAACACAAACATCAATGACTACCAAGATAAATGCACAGGGCTTCAAAGGATGAATGGTCTTGGAAAAAGCACAGAAGGGGCCTATAGAAGAATTGAAACTAAAGAGTCAAGTGTGTATTGTGTGCCACATGAAGCAGAAGATACAGTGAAGAATCACAAGATAAGGTGATAAAAGTGGTCCAGCAAGGAGTCCCATTACTCAGAAGACTGGGTACAATGTTTTCTGGGAAATGAATAAGGGGAAAAATGTCTCTTGGAGGGAGTACAAAAATCTGAGGATTAAGAAGGAACAGGAAATCACTGTGCCTGAACATCCTAGGAAGGAAGAAGGCCAGAGAGGACAATCACAATTTACCTGGGATCCAGCAGGAAGATGTGTGGTTGTGACCTCCTGATCTACGGTGTTCCATTCATCAGCAGGGGCAGGAACCCAGGGAGAAGACCGAGCTATAAAAAGAGAAAGAAAAAATTAGTATCCTGGGCTGTGGGCCTTTTATTCATGTTCTTCTCCTTTTAAGACATGACATGTATTAATGCCAACTTATATAAACTGATGATTTTTTTCAATGAGTTCAGAGCAACGCCCCAAACTACAACACCCTGAAGTCAGGCTTACAAACTCATATACTTTCAGGTGAAGGCAGGTAAAGTACCTGATGGAAGGAGCCGGTTGGGACCGTGGGGGAACTGGAGAGCACATGCCCTGTTGAAAAGGCACAGCCAAAGCTCCACTGATGCTTCCATGTGAGACTATGGCACTGGTAGAGGCAGGGTTTCTAATTTTTTCCAAGAGAAACCAGAAATCTACACTTTTAGGAAATCCCAAATTTTAAACCCTGAGAACTAAAAGCAAAACAAAACCTCCAAACAAAAACTATTTGTAGGTGAGCCAAAACAGGTCTGGTTGGGTATGCAAGTTAACAGTTTGCAAACTTTAGTGTAAGTTAAGTCCCTATGAATGACAACTGTCACAAAGAACTTAGCAAACACAGATACATAGTGATGGACAAATACAGGCAAATACATCCTCTAAGGGTGGAAGATACAAAAACTTTTATATAGCTCATGACTGGTTTAACTTCTTCCCTGAAACTCACTAACTAGGGAAAATTTTAAAAATAACTATCATAGAAAGACAGGGAGGGAAGTAAGAATGATTAAGATGCAATATGTATGTGTAGCAATTCCCCAAGATGAATGCAATTACATATTGCAAATATATACTAATAAAAAAGAAATTTAAAATATTAATAAAAAGAATACCTATCACTTGTCATCAAGAACTCAAAAGCCTGCTCCACTAATTTCTACAGAAGCAAATCAAATCATTTCCTCAGAAACACATTCCCTAAACACAGCTGAAATCACAGATCTTCCTTTAGAATGAATTTACCATTCGGAGACACCTATATCTCAAATTTTCTATCCTCCACACCCCAGTCAATGTCAACAGAAAAAACCTTTTCCACTTTAACAATTCTTTATCACCTTGAAACGGCAAAAGGCAAAAATATCACAAATAGGTATGCTGGACTAACCCTATCACCTAGTCACCAGACCTACCTGATTCATGTGATCAAGGGAGCTTTGATCCTAATGAGCACACTCTGGATAATTCAGGATCCACCAGCATTTGTAATGTGTTGTCATGCACAGTATGAACTTGGGGAAGGTACAAAGGTAGAGTATGGGACAGTGAATCATCTCTTGGTGAATGGTTGTGTAAGTCAGGCACACTTGCAGTCTAAAAATAATTTTGTCATTATGGGAGGAAGGATATTAACATATCCTGAGCACCATTATACACTGGCCATTTTACACTGCCTCACTTTATCTATATGAACAACTAGTTATTTCCCTTTTATGGATGAGAAAATGCAAAGTTTGAGAAGTAACCTGATCAAGGCTACACAGATGAAAATGGAAGAACGAGGGCTTGAACCCAGGTCTGTACACCTCTAAGGCCTAACCCCTCAAGCTCTATGCATGCTCTTTTTTTCTATTTCTTGCCTAAGATCAGACAGAGGGGCTAGAGAAAAGATACAAAGTCTTTTGACTGTAGGTCCAACAATCTTTCCATTCAGGAGATGGAGAGATAACTGAACTGGGAGACACTGTGATTCATCTCCTTGTACTAGACTGGATCCATTCATATATAGGGTAGCTGTGAACATCTCTGTGAAGTCTTACTGTTTATCCCTTTCAAATCCATTTGTGATGCCCTAACTTTTGAGTCAATTTTGAGACATAATATCTTGGCTCCCTTTCCAAACAGTTTTTCAAGGTGTTTATAATCAGTGAGGAGCACACATGACCAGGGTAGGACTAAAAACACAAGCTAACTACAGAATGGAGATTTTAAAATAATATTAAAAAACTCAAGGCTGGTCTGGGCAATCTAGGTTTCCCATTTACACCTTGAAGATCTCTTTATACTTAGGTTGAACAAGTTCTCAACTTTTTTTTTTTTTAGTATGGGGATCGAACTCGGGTCTTTGCACCTGCATAGTAGGTGGCAAAACTACTGAGCTAAATCCCCAGACCCTAGTTCTCAACTTTTGAAGCTAATGAAACTTGTTTTCCCAATTATTTAACTTATTTTCAAATACACATCGAGGGGACTCTATACTGAGGAAGTCACAGTGTCACCATCTAAATCTACCATGGTCTCTGCACAGGGCATGCTCTAAGTCCTTCTTACCATTCCTGGGCAAGGGCCGATGCTCTCTCTTTTGATTCAGCTGTTCCTGGTGTCCTGAGTGGAGGCTTCCAGCTTCCTCCCGAGACACTACCCTGGGTTGGGTGTCCACCTGCTCAGGTTGAAAGTCTACTACCTCCCACACTGTTCCAAGTGGGGCTTGCTTCTCCGAGTGTATAGGACTGCTGACCTGGGAAAGAAAGTCGATACCATAATGGAAAGGGGGAGGGAAAGAGATCTAAACTAGGGACAAATTCGCCCAAGAATGATACTCAAAAAGAATAGAAGATGTAAGAAGGGCTGAACATTTCAGTCGGTTCCCAGTGGAATTCCTCGAGGCTGTTAGGTTCACTGTACCATGCTGGAGTTCAGGTACAAAGAAACAGGAGAGCGCTTTTTATTGCTTACACAGAGGGAGCAAATCTGTCAGGAGTGAAATACAGAACTTCCTTGTTACTAGAATAGATGTTATTTGAGTCCTTACATCTTTTAGTTCACAGAGAAGTTTTGAGAATGTGAATATATTCGGTAGTGAGCTGAAAAGTTACAAAATTATTCCCCATGTCGACCTATTACTAACACAGCAACCTGCTGATAGTCAGCTCTTTACACAGTGCAAATCCTGTGTGAGAAAGCTACAAACCTGGCAAAGACCACAGAACTTCAGGAGGTTAATGAAAGACATTGAAACCCACTAGGAGGGCATGCCAAGCCATTGAGAAATGAAAATCTAGCAGTTAAATTGGAGAAGAGTGACAAGATCATGGCCCTGAGAGGACTTCAAAAAACACTGAGTGTAATATTAAAGGATTAGAAAAGATTATGGGATATCTGATGAAGTCTTTTTTTTTTTTTTTAAAAATAGCCCCCTTTAGGATCAAGCTGCAAAAGTGTGAAGCATAACCATATCATTCTCTCATATAATTTGCTGCAAACATTATGCCAAAGAGTAAAATAATATTTAGGTGCATAATGTTCAGTTTCATTTGCAAGCTATTTCAGTCAAAACTTTTTCCCTTTCTGTTTAAAATGAATTTCTGATCCCATTTTAAGTGGATTCACTTTAGGGATCTTTTATTAGTGTCATTTATCTTTCCATAATAAGCGCTTCTTTCTGCAATGCATCCTTGCTCACCTGCCTTTCCCACTTTTTTAAAATGCAAAAATCTGAAAAGTCCTTTCTCACCTGCTGTCTGAATCTTCCAGTCTCTTTCTCCAAATGGACTACCAGGGCCACTGCTTCCTCTCCACTTTCCGGACACTGCCTCTGGGCCCAAGCCTGAATCTTCTTGGGTAAAATGGTAAGAAACTGCTCAATCACCAGCAGCTCAAGCATCTGTTCTTTGGAACGCATCTCAGGCTTCAACCACCGGCAGCATAGTTCCCAGAGTTTACTGAAAGCTTCATGGGGTCCAGTCACGTCCTCGTAACAAAACTGCCTGAAGCATTTGCGAAAGGTCTCACACTCAGTGCTATCCGATCCTTCCAGAAAAGGCTCCGACGCCCACTCGGGGTCCTTTTCCACCTTCAGCATTACACACCCCTCCACCTCCAGGGGCATGCTGATCTGGGAGTTCAGGGCTGCAGCCATTCTCCACACGGGGTGGTGGTGGCGGTGTCAACTTGAAGTCTAGCTCAAAGTGGGGTTCTGAGAAGCCACCACGGGCTTAATGTTTTTGGAAGCGCGGAACGTAGTGAGGTTAAAAAACCCCCAAACCGCGCAACTCAGCGGTTTTATCGGAAATGGTACTTCAGGCTGATTAATCAGATCTATCCTAGGCCCTTGAAAAGGTGAATGAGTATCCAAAGCCCAAAAGCCTGGCCTCTTCTCCAAGCAAGCTGTATCCCCGCAATGTGGCTTTCCGGAGTGCATCCCTTTTAGTGCAACGTCGGAACGCAGAGCGGGGCTGCAGGACAGGAGGAAAGCGGGCAGACAGAGGGAGGATGGGCGGGGACTCCAGCGGGCCTGTAGGGGGTGTGTCCGCCGCCCCGAGGCCGGCCGGGGGGGGGGCCGAGGCGGCGAGTGGGTGGGGCCGGATGTGCGGGCTCCTCCCGGCCCCGCGGCGTCCAGGCCGCTGCAGGTGTCTAGTGGGGCTCGGCGGTGTCCTAGACCCGCGCCGGCTACTCCGGGCCCACGGCAGCCCTGGCCATCCTCTGGAGGCCTTCGCACGCCAAGGAAGGGCCTTAAAGCGGTCCCGCCCCGGAGGAATGAAAAGCCGCAGGACGAAACGAGGCCTCACGGGAGAGACTCCCGGCACCCGGCGCGCAGCGTCGTCCGCTCGGGCCTCGGAGAGCGCGGGGGGCTCTGGGAGGCGCAGCCACGCATGCGCGCCGCGGGGGCCGCGCGGGGCTTCCTTGCGGGCGAGGGGCTGGGGGACTCTCGCGAGAGCGCGCAGCGCGGGGCTCGCCGTCGAAGGACTCTCCGCCCGAGGAGAGCTGCGAGGACAGTGTACGCGCCCGAGGGCCGGCGTGGGCTGAGCAGCGGCCCTCCAGAGCCGGAAAAGGGGAGCGTCGGGGAGGGCGGGCTCGGGCGGAGGGGACTCCTTTGTCCTGCGGAGGGATTTGGGGCTGCTGACGCGAGTGTCCTCGGCTTCGGCTTCTTAGGGACCTCGGTTCTGCTCCCGTGGGAAGGGGACGGGCGGAGGGAATTTGCAGTCAGCCCACGCGCAGCGCAGTTTGCCCTGCCCCGGCGCTGTCCTGAGGCCCTGGTTCCTAGCACCGTGCCTGTGCCTTCCCGCCGTCCTGCTGGTTGAGCAAGTACTGTCAGGGATTAGGTAGCCTGTTAGGAACCAGTGTAGTAACGTATTTCTCAGAACGGGTTAGAAGTCAGCGTGCAAATGCTAGCGCCGAGAGTGCGCATGGCGGGTGTTAGGGAGGCAGGGTCAGAGAGAATTCACGGGGCGCGACGTAGGGGGTGCCAGGAGTTGTATCGGAGTCATTGCACAGCTTTGCTTTCTCTCAGAAATATTATGGAGCACTTATTTGCGCGCGACATGGTAGGTGAGCAAACCCAGGGTCCCTTGCCATTCTTTTCAGTCGGTTGGCAGAAGTAGTCATTAACCAAATAAACCACGAAGTAATGTGCAGAGGCAACCATGACGGGTACTACCAACAAGAGGAACGGATTTGGACTAGTGAGGAGATCTGGGAAGGTTTCTTTGAAGGATCACTGCCAGGGATTGAGATCCAAAAGTAAATATAAGAGCTAATTAGAGAAAACCTAGTCCTCACAAAAGTCCTATAAAGCAGATAGGATTAATTCTACTTTAGAGTTGAGCATATTGAGACCTCAGCAAGGTCAGGTAACTTTCCCAGGTTACTGCAAGTTAAGTGGTAACCCAGAAGTTAGATTCAGGTAAGAATAGGGCCTTTTATATACTCCTTGGGCCATTTGGTGGGTTTAGGAGAGGTAAAGTACTAACAGTAGTTCAACGATATTAGGGAACACTAGTCACAAACTTGAAAGCATGCAGAACTCAGGCAGGTGCATAAGTTGAGTGAAGTAAAGGCAGAACGTCAGGCATGGTGGAGACTAGTAAACTGGAAGTTACATTCTAGTGGATGAAGGGAGCAGCCATTAGTTCCAGCCTCTTGTTTCATGCAGGAATATGGACAGAGCTGTGCCAGGTTTTTCAACTGTTAAAAGTTGACAAATAGTCGTCCTTTTTTTTGGGGGGGGGTCATCACACCTAAATAATTGGAAAATCCATTTATCTGTCCCCACTAAAATGTTAGCTTAATAGGTTTTTTTTTTTTGGTACCAGGGATCGAACTCAGGTCTTCGCACTTGTGAGGCAAGTGGCAGAACCACTAAGCCAAATCCCCAGCCCCAGCTTAATAGGTTTTAAAAAACGACTTTGTGTCCAGAATTTAGAACAGTGCCTCTTACATAGAAGGCAATCAACCAACCTCGTCTATCTGTAGAGCCTGAACTTTTCCTTCTAGGTGTGACAGGTTTCAAAGCATTTTTTTACATTTCTTTAAAATTTTTTTCCCACCACCCTCTCTACTGGCCACTTAACTTGCTTACATGACTGCTGCATTAAAAGCCATGAGATATTACCCCAGGGAACTATTTGGGTGTATCTTTCCTTTGTACCTTCCCACCCTCTTCATATTTTACTTTCTCCTGTTCTCAAAGTTTTTGGCATCATATCTTGGTTCCCTTTATGTATCTATCCTGTTTTATACTTAAACAGTGTTTTCTTGTTTTGGTTCTGACCTAGAACTTCAGAGAATTGACATTGGACCCATCACCAAAACCAGATGTTCTGCCCTTAAACCGAGCCCCAGCCTCTGCAACTGTAGACTGCTCCCTGTTGCTTCTTGTCAGGGGAAGTGCATGAGAAGGCTTCCTTTTTGTAAGAAACGAATCCCCTGGGATTAATCCAGAAGAAAGGACTCATCGCTAGATGTTGGAACTTTTTATTTTATCACATGTACTTAAGACAATATCTCAAGTCTCCGTGGGGGAAGTTCCAGCCTCTCTTTAAAGCTCCTCTTGGAATAAAGGGCACTCAAGCTGGTTCTTCATTATCTCCTCGGTGATAATGACAGAGCAGGTGTTAGGGAGGCAGGGTCAGAGAGAATCCACGGGACATATAGTAGATATCGGAAGTTGTATCAAAGTCACAACACCACTTACTTTTCTCTCAGAAAAATTCTTGAACACCACTTGTGCATGACATAGTGGTAAGTGATGAGCAAACCCAGGGTTCCTTGCCATTCTTTTCAGTCTGGTGGCAGAAGTGTCATTAACCAAATAAACCAGGAAGTAATGTGCAGAGATAACTGTGACGGGTACTACCAACAAGAGAAACAGGGATCCTCCTTGGTACAAGATCATAAGACTTCCAGGAATTGTCATATTTTGGTGGTCTCTTAGTAACATATGCTTATTTCTATGTATAGTTTTATTTATTTTGGTATCGGGGATTGAACTCAGGACCTTGTGCTTGCAAAGCAGGCAGGGTGCCACTGTGTTGAATCCCTGGCCCTCTGTTTTAATGGGACATTTCAAACATTAAAAAATAGAATTAACTCCTGTTCCTGACCTCCAGCTTTAACAATTAGCAACTCATGGCCAGTCCTGCCTTCCCTATAACTCTACTCACCCCTGGCCGCCGTTTCTTTTGGAACAAATCCCAAACATCAGATTTAACTATCAGAATGTATTAAACATAACTTCAGTATCATCATAAACCCTCCTCGACTGCATCAACAATTCTTTAATACTTTAAAAAACAGCTTATTTGGTTGAATGATGGTCTGCAAAGGGAAAATAAAAGGGTTGTAGATGCAGGGCGGGTAAAAAAGAACAGCTGTCTTCCATGCTTGCTAATTAGGTGTTTACACGTAGTTCAACGTGCAAGTTTCTGCCTTGGGAGCAGATAGTTGAAAAAGTCCACACAGATCAGTAAATGAAGTAGGTCAAGACATTACCCTATGAGTTTATTCAAACCAAGAAGCACTGGCTTCCTGTGGTCCCAAGAAGTGCATCCACGCCAGTGTTTCTTTGGTAAAATAGCCATTATCACAGCTGTCATTTTGGAAGTAGCTCTGGAGCACCTTTTCCATTGACATTCTGCTGTCCATGGTGCTGATCCCATACTCCTTTGGCAACCAAATGGCTAACCTGGTTTTGGGGTTTAGTGTAGGGTTACCATAAAAATGAACATAAACTATGCATTAAATAGTTGCAAGAAGCACTATCTATACCTTGTCTAAGTTAAAAGCCCCCAAAACTCCAAGTGGGAAAATTGTTTTCTAATACCAGTTACCTTTCTTTTATGTGCTGGAAGTCCAATTAATTTCTTTAAGAATTGAAAAGTAGAAGTGCAAAGGTTGTGTATGTGTTAGACAGTATTAATATTTTAAATATGATTTCTTGGCCAAGGTATAATTAATTGCAGTGATTTTTTGTTTCTCACATTAAAAAATCACTGGCTCACTAATAATGGTCAGATTGGTGTCAGAATAAATGTTAAAATATCCCAGTTCTTTTGACCCCACGGAGTGATACAATAATGAAAAATACTCAATGTGCCACCACCATGTGTGTTGTGTGTGTTGTGTGTGTGTGTGTGTTGCTAAGTACCAAACCCAGGACCTTGTGCATACTAGGCCAGCAGTGCACTGCTAAGTTATACCCTTCACTCTCAAATGTTTATTAATATGAATATATATAGTGCTATACTCAACTTTTTTGTTGCCTACTTCTTTATAATGCACTATGCTATCAATGGTTTAAATAGATATATAAGACTTACCCTTCTTAAATATTAACAGTGTTAACAGTAAAATGGAGAAAATTAGCCAGCATTGTCATACATTAGAATAAATGTGGAATAAATAAATGCATGAAGATCTGTGACAGCACGTATAACAGGTCCTGTAGCTATCAGAAATAGTTCCTTAGAATCTTGAAGGATCCTTAGCAGGAAGGGGAAAGAGGTATTCCAAATACATGATGTAAGTGATATTTTTGTGTAATAGTCTGAGGTTGAGTGTATTGAGGACTTAGCATGAGTGAAGAAAATGGTGGAAGATGAAGTTGTACACACAGATTAGAGAGAACTTGGGCTTTCTGCTAGGGATTTGGACTTACAATGAAGGCAATACACAAGATTGTTCGTTATAGGACACGTGTAAATACTGAATAGTTTCTCTGGTGTGAGAAACTGAAAGTATAAATAAGGATCAAAGTGTATAATTGATAATGTGAAGAAAAGGCCTAAAGGGGTAGGGGAAGTGGGA